GTGTGGGGACTCGGTAGGCACTCCGGGACGGCCCAGCTAGGCGGGCCCTTCCTTAGCGCCCTCATCATCTGCTACCATCCAGGCTTCTCATTAAACAGTTTCAATAAAATGTGCCTATAGCAGACATTACATCTTTAATACTAGTCGAATATCCTAGCTACCATACTTTCAAGATATCATTACATTAGAAAAGAAAATGAAACCCCCTAGCGACTAGATTTACAAGAAAGCATCGTGTGACTCGAAATCCCTGCACGTTGGTCTACTAATAATACTTCTTGAGATGTTCAGTGTTCGACAACTTGCCTAGTGATTTTCCTTTCAAGTCCTTTAGGCTGTAAGCTCTCTTTCCAAGGTTTCGGATCACCTCATAAGTCCTTCCCAATATCCATCCCCCCCACCCCTCCGCTAAATTCACGCATTCCTGCCACCAATTTTTTTCTGTAGTATCGAGGGGCTCAATTCACCCCTTTGGAGGCTTAAGGTCCAACATCATAACTGGTGGAGATCTCTTCATCCGTACACTTCAATATAACACTTCCTCAAAGACTGTTGATCGCCCCTCACACACCCCACATCACGACTAGTTGGGAATTTCATTATTTGGTGGTAAGTGGAAAGAATAGCCCCAACAGCATTCAGTAAAGGTCGACCATAGATTGCATTATACGCTATGGGGGTCTTGATAACCAAAAACTTCGTTAAGTTCACCACGCTTGCGGGGTAAGCACCCGATGTCATTAGTAGTTTCACAACTCCCTTCGGTATCACAGTAGCCCCTCCGAATTCTTGGAGGGGGTGGATACTGCGTTCACATTTTCCAACGAAATTTTCAATCTCACAAATGCTTCATAAGTGAAAACGTTCATTGAGCTACCGCCATGAACCAACACCCTCTTGACATCGTAGTCCGTTATGTCGCCGATTATCACCAAGGCATCATCATAGGGGGTTACCACGCCTATTAAATTTTCTCACCAAAAGTGATGTTTTGATTGAACCTGGCCTTTTTCTAAATGGAGTAGACTCCAACTGTGCGTGCATAGCTCTTTCTAGCCGAGTTCGAGTCCCCCCGCTACGATCCATCCAATAATCACATTTATAACACCAGTCTTAGGCGGTGGTCGGTCATCAACCTTCTGCTTGCCTCGATCATTCCACGCGTACTTAGTCAAAAAATCCTGCTTCAAGAGGTGCTCGATATCCTCATTCAAATGGATGCATTCTTCCGTTTCGTGCACATGGTTTTTATGGAAATGACAGTACTTGCTCGTCTTTCTTACTGGCAGACGCCGCCATCGGTCTCGATCAGTCGAGTTCTTTCATTTCTCGAATTTCCATCAATATCTTGGCTCCCGAAATATTTAAAGGGGTGAAGGCTTTGACCTCCTCCCACTTCTGCCTAACCGACTGATCCTGAGTGTACCCCATGTTTATGCGTTCATTCATCGACTTGTCTTTATCAACAAGTTTTCACTCATCACCTATTTTTCGTTTGTGACTTTCTGCCTCCCATCCCTCTTTGAGATTTTTAGTGACCTTCTCTGCTTCCTCTGCATCAACGTACTTATCACCCTTTTCGGAGAGTGACATCTTAAAGGCTTGGTTCCACGTCCCATTCATTAACGATGTTACCATTGCAGACATTTGAAGGTCCTTTATACCAAGTGTCGCCTTGCTGAACCTAGCTAGTACTCCTGCAATGATTTGTCTTTCTCCTGCACAACTTGCATCAATCCAATGGCGCCTTACACTTCATTTTGCTACTCATGAAGTATGCCACAAAATTTCTAGAAAGCTCATCAAAAGTCTTTATAGACATGGGTGCTAAGGTGGCTACCTAGTCTCTAGCCTATCTCTTGAGTGTCGGGGGAAAGGACCGACACATCACTGTATCTAGGGCTGCATAGAGCCTCATTAAATCAATGAAGGTCTACAAGTGGTTAAACGGATATGTGACTCCTTTGTATGCTTCTATCATTGGCTGTTTAAAGCCTTTCGGTAAGGGAACTGGCATGATTTCAGGTGTAAAAGGATCTTCTTCCAAAACCATTTCCCTTCGCCTATCCTTTCTCTTAGTTAATGCATCATCTATTTTCTAGGTCATCATCTCCTCCATCTTCCTTTCCATGTCCATCATGGGTCGGGAAATCCGCGAAAATGCAACCCCTACTGCCCTTAAGTCCTCCACTGTTGGCTGAGTAACATGCGGGATAACCTTTTGCCCCACTTGGGGCGGTTGCTCGCGTACGGGCTCCAGCAAGTTCTGTGGTGCGGCTGTGGCCTTCTGCGTTTAACTCTGCAAAAGGGCCATCATGGTTGCCAATTGAGTTTCCAGGGCACTGAATTGGCTCTGCGTTACGTACTTTGGTAGAGTGGCGAGTCGTGACCCCTTACGACAGATTCCGACTCCATCTCTGTCGCATTTTTGACCATACGTGTTTCACTCCTAGTCCGTCTTCTTGACATAACTTTTTGTTTAGTGGTTTTCCACAGACAACGCCAATGAAATTATCACGAATTAAACAGACCTCCACAGCCTCCTTGACGTGTAGGGTGTTCCGGCTGCTCCAATCAGTGAATGCTACCTGCAAAACAAGGTCGGGCTTTCTCCTTTGTTGTACCTCCAACGTGAGAATCAGTAGTTGGTTTAGAAAAGTAGGAAGATAGTACAATTGGAATTCAAACAGTTTGAGTTTCACGAGAGCCATACGTTTCTCACCTTAGGGGTATTTATAGGCACATGATGCAACGCACTCGTTCAGCAGTTAATGGTGCCACGTGTCCGAAGTAAATCTTCAAACTTCCCTCACATTCTAATGGGATGACCCCCACTCCTCAAGCGGGTTGGTTGTGCCCACGTTTGCCGTTGAGGGGTTCCCCGTTCAGCTCATTGTCATTTGTATGGTTAAGTGTTGTGTTGGCCTCGTAGTGGTAGACGGCCTATGTAAACGTAGAGGCCTCATGGTGGTAGGCGACCTCATAGGGGTTGACGACTTCATGGGGGTTGACGGTCTATGTGAACGTAGAGGGTCTCGTGGTGGTAGGCGGCCTCGTGGGGGTCGATGGCCTATGTGAACGTAAAGGACCTTATGGTGGTAGGCGATCTCATAGTGGTAGACGGCCTATGTAAACGTAGAGTGTCTCATAGTGGTGACAGCCTATAGGGGTAGACGGCCTATCATGTGGTGCTCTACGTGGAGTGCATATCAAGTAGTTCTTACCTAATTGACCATCGTGGATAATTATTAATGTCATCCTGTATCAGTGTATCATTACAAGCTTGAACTCAATATATACAAGTGTTATTTGTGAAATAATTCGAATTTCAAATCATTCACTAGCTTTAAGTGCTCGTGCTATGCATGTGGGGAGCATCAGCTCCACTCGTGTGGGCTTTTGAGTAGTATGAGAAATTGTTGGAATGCTACGAAAGAATATCGAGACTAAGGATGCGTGCCAGTTTCAAACTCGATCTTTAATTAGCCTGAACAATGCACATAATTAACAAAAATAAATTAATTTTTCGTCCTCGTTTTTTAAATTTTCATCAAATACAGCGTACGAAATATGTCACACTGTTTGCTTTGCCATTAGCTTGACGTTTGGTTTACTACTGTCTATTGTTGAATACTTTTTTATTTCTCAAGATTCCAATTTCGGCAAGTCATTTTCTATAAGCTACTTTCTTGTCCTTAGTTATTTGTCAATGACTAAATGTCCTTGTGTTCTCATTTAAATTTTTGTTTTTTTCCCTTGGCTCGTTTATTATTGGATTCACGTCAAACTCATCATTTATCAGCGAACTTTAAATTTTAACTCGATTACAAGAATTTATAAAGTACCTTAAAAGTAGTAATCTTACAGAAGTTAAATCTTCATTTATCTGAATATCGTACTCTTTTCATTGGGATTAATTTCGGGTCGAAGGACTGCATTAAATTGTTGAATTGTACATCATAAAATTAAATAAATAATTATGTGAGACTAATTATAAATTTTCTTGGAAATGAATATGACATGCACGTGAATAGACATGTTGAATATGATTACCAAGAAGAAGAGATGGATTCCATCTCATAAATGAAAAGGAGGTGGACCTCAAAAAAAATCTGGTCAACTTTTGATAGAATTCCACACCAAAAACAAGAGGAGGAAAGGGACTGCATATCAAATTATCATAATGGAATTAATTGCGTACGCTATTTACAGTTTGTTTGATGAACAAATTTATGAAATCTACCAATAACAGTAATTAAGCTTGACAGACAGCTATTTATTTAACAATTTAGTCCAATTCTTGCATAGTCCAAATCCCTCTTAATCTTGTGATTAACGTCAATTAATGCATGCTAAATTTTCAAATAAATTAATGTCTGTATTTACAGCTTGTTTCAGCCTTGGAGGAGGATTCCTAAGTTTAAAAACCTTGTTCTCTTCAAATGAATACTTTTAAGAAAGTTTCATTTGTTTTTGAGGTTTTTATATAGTTCTATTGGGTTCACATCTGAAGTGGTTTTGAAGGTTGCTAGAACACCATTTATATAGATCAGGTTAGTTCTGTTAATTTTATAACCTTAGTGATCCTTTCTTTGCAATGATTAATTTAGTCGACTCGAAATTTATTCAAAATATGTCTTAGTTTTGTTATTGTTATTGTTGTTGTTGTTGTTGTTTGTCAATGTTGTTTGCATCGATGCTAATGAACTCTGCATTTAGGTAAAGCAGTAATTCTTAGGACGTTTGGTACATTAAAAGGAACGACTCGACAGGATCAAATGAGGCAAATGTTCAGTTATTCTGTCCAGCCATATCTAGTCGATTGTACTAAACAATATACTTGATATGACCATCTTGTTTAAGTTTCATAACATTTAAATTCTGATTTCCAGGATTACATTAGAGAAAATTCTGATTATATCGAAGTACCTCAAAATTGAAGTTAATTCTTTGTCGGTGTTTAAGTGTTTCTTCTTGGTCGTTACAGAAATCTCCAGACAATGGAAGATACAGAATCGAGCATGCAACCTCTTGCCATCGTAGAAGATGACGATAACTATACAAAAGACGGGACAGTCAATTATCGTAATAAACCTGCTAACAAGAAGAAAACTGGAAACTGGAAAGCCTGTCCATTTATCCTAGGTCAGTTATTTTTCATTCTTAATTCTTCCAAATTAAGTCATTTCTGGTAATGACACTGCTTGCTGAGTATTGAAATTTTTTTTCTGCAGGAAATGAATGTTGTGAAAGATTAGCATACTATGGAATGAGCTCCAATTTGTTTCTTTATTTCACAAATCAACTCAATCAACACAGTGTAACTGCTTCAAAAAATCTGTCGAATTGGTCGGGTACTTGCTATGTTATGCCATTACTTGGAGCTTTTCTTGCTGATGCATATTTAGGTAGATATTGGACTATTGCCAGCTTTTCGAGCATCTATGTTATCGTAAGTTCAACTATCTGTTTCTTTTAGTAGAGGTAGCGACGAACTGAATGAATTGGAAAGAAAATGAACTGAGCTTAATTTGTTGTCATTATGGTATATTTTGATCACCTCGTCTAAAAGCTTAATTTGTTAGAAAGATAGCATTTCTCATTGCTAGGTCTTCTCAACTATTTAACCATTGCCAAATTCTATCAACAGGGAATGACACTGTTGACATTATCAGCAACAGTCTCTGGCCTGAGGCCAACCTGTTCAAAGAAAGATGTCTGTACTGCAACACATACTCAAACATCAGTCTGTTTTATTGCACTATATCTGATAGCTCTCGGAACCGGTGGGATTAAGCCATGTGTCTCATCATACGGTGCAGATCAATTTGATGACACTGATGAGGCTGAAAAGAAGCACAAAAGTTCTTTCTTCAATTGGTTCTATTTTTCAATCAATATTGGTGCACTTATTGCCTCTTCTGTGATTGTTTGGATTCAAGTTACAATTGGTTGGGGATGGGGATTTGGTATTCCTGCTGTGGCTATGGCAATAGCTGTGGCCTTTTTCTTTTCGGGTACTCGACTTTTTCGGTACCAGAAACCCGGTGGCAGCCCTCTTACGCGTCTCTGCAAGGTGGTGGTAGCCACACTGAGAAAAACTCAAGTTGTGGTACCTGAGGACAAGTCTCTTCTATACGAGACTTCAAATGCAGAATCCGTTATAGTAGGCAGCCGCAAGCTTGATCACACGGATGAACTTCGGTATGTACCCTTTTCTACTATGGACTGTGTTTGGTACGTTGGATTGATTAGGTAAGACAAGACAACTAATAGATTGTCACATGTCTCTTCTTTAATCTTATCTAGTCTTATCTAGTCGAGTATACTAAACATGTTTGAGTGTTTATTTTAGCCACAATGCGCATCATAAATCTTTTTTTTTTTTTTTAACGAACTACCTAAAAGTACGAGGACCTTTAGTAATGTTGTATTCAACTACGGAACTAGCATCTTCGTGCAAACCAACACTGCGTTCTTAAAAGAATAGAAATTCTTAAATACAAACTACACTCAACCTCTATTATACAATCAACTTCCTTTCACTGGGTAAGCAAGCTGAGGAAACTTGAGTCTTTACAAGCCTTATCGGGTAACTATCAAGAACAAGTATCCAATTTTATTGCTGTTATTCGACCAACAATTCAAGTGATTACTTTTTAAAAAAGTTTCTAGTCTGTTAAATTTGTCAAATTTCAGGTTCTTTGATAAGGCAGCAGTGATACTACAATCAGATTATAAAAAGGACACAATAGATCCGTGGAGACTTTGCACTGTTACACAAGTTGAAGAACTGAAATCAATTATCCGATTACTTCCCATATGGGCTACTGGCATAATGTTCAGCACAGTGTATGCACAAATGGGCAACTTATTTTTGTTACAAGGAACATACATGAACACAAAACTGCGCACTTTTGACATCCCGGAAGCATCCCTAGGCATTTTCGATACTCTCAGTGTCATTTTCTGGGTTCCAGTCTATGATCAAATCCTGATTCCTATAGTAAGAAAATTCACAGGCCATAAGAATGGTTTGACACAGTTGCAGCGTATGGGGGTCGGGCTTTTCATATCGATATTTGCGATGATATCTGCAGCAGTTCTAGAGGTCGTTCGACTAGGAATTGTACGAAGACACAACCTGTATAACACAAAGCAAGCACCCATCTCGATATTCTGGCAAATCCCCCAGTATTTCATCATAGGATGTGCGGAAGTGTTCACAAACATAGGACAACTCGAATTCTTCTACGAACAAGCACCTGATTCTATGAGAAGTTTGTCTGCAGCCCTGTCTTTAACAACAACCGCTGTGGGAAGCTATGTGAGTTCTTTGTTACTGACTATTGTTACAGATATCAGTACTAGGAATGGGAAGCCTGGATGGATAGCTGACAATTTGAACCATGGTCACCTCCATTACTTCTTTTTGCTACTGGCTGTTCTGAGTTTTCTCAACTTGGGAGCTTTCATTGGGGTGGCAAAGAGATATACATACAAAAGGGCCGTGGGAACTCTTCGTTGACGACTATGTGAAGTGACAACTATGCAATACTGGATAGCAGTGTACATATTGGATAATATTTATTTTCTTTTTTTCTTCCATCATGTTTAGTTGTGTACAGTGCAGCGTGACAACCTATGTTAATGTGTTATCATTTCCTTTTCAGTGCGACGACCATATTGGATAGTATTTATTTTCTTTCCTTTTTTTTTTCGATCCTGTTCAATTATGTCTAGTGCAGCTGTGCAGCGTGACAACCATGTTAATGTGTTATCATTTCCTTTTCAGTGTCAATGAACTATGTATAAGTTAACTACGAAAATGAAAGATGCTGAACATAAAACATAAACAAATTTCTCCCCCGTCTAATAGTCTTAATTATAGATTCGGTAGTTCAAGATAATATTAGAGCACAGAAACATCGTAAATTCAAGTATGACAGCCACCAATTTATGAAAATTGCACGTCAGTCCAGAATCAGGCACCATTTTTCCCTAATATTCCACTCCATTCTAGCCACACTTCAATGGTAAGTTTCACTTTCCAAAGACTGGCTACCACAGGGCTGGAAATTACCCTATGTGCAATTATTGAAGAGACAGCACTCCCAACATTTGTCATAAACCATGTGTAGCACCTCTCAAACAATAATTTCAATATAAGACAACAATAAAATGGTATATGGTATTGGAAAAAAGTCACAATGCTACACCAACTACAACATTTTAACTTTTTTTTTTCTTCTTTAATTGTTTTGCCCAGTTTAGCATGCTCAGGACACCAGTAATTCTAGGTACATTTCACCTGTGATTGAGACCTAAGTGCCCAGCATTGAACCTCAATCAAAATATGTTAAGATAGAAAACTACTGTGGTATAAGTATGCTACAAAACAGCTTCCAGTCCATGCTCAACTCCTCAATAACAGAAGGATATCCATTCTGCATACAGGAAAGAGCTTTCCGTATTTTCTACCTAGGGACTTGTGAATCTATGGAAGGTTTGAAATTTAAGTTTTGCCTGCTGTATAAAAAGAAGAAAAAGGGCAAATGAAATAGTAAAGAAATATGCACAGGTAATATGAACGCCCTATATATCATCTTTCATATTCTTACTCTTCACATACAAGATAACAAACCTCCTGGATTTCGGAGACATGCAATTATAAAATGAGAACGCATTAGGTTCTATTAACACCGCATAAATCTGCTCTCACATTCCCACTCCTCAGACACAAGATCAAGGCGATTCTTGGAATTCCTGAGAGGTCCTAATAAAATGCGAGTTGCAAAAATTCGCAATCTGGCTTAGGCCTAAACCATCATACTCGAAATAATATCATTGTACTGACGAAAAATGATTCAAAACGAGAGGCCTTTAAATGAACAAAAGAAAGAAAATATGAAACAATTATTACTGTGTTACAGATAAGGTTACAAGATATGGAAATTACAAGGTTAAACATGAATAAGGTACTAGATTTGAAAATTTGTCGCAAGTATCGCTTAATAATTTTGCAGAGAAGAACTGTCTACCTTCAGTCAATTCAACTGCAGAACATTGTAAATGAATTTGAGTTCTACAGCTTAAATTTTCCACCCTTTATGCTCCTCAAACTCCTCAATGGTGTCATATAGAATGGTACTATGCCATTGTCAAGATCCATTGACGAATATTTAGCACTCATGTTTCTCTCCAGCATAAATTCTTCCCTGCCCTTGTAAGCACGTAAACCACTGTTATCAACACTCCTCCTACCATAACTTGATCCTTGGATTTCACCTGAATTTCTCAAACCAACAACACTACTACTGCGTGCAAGCTTCCAACCCGACACTTCTTTTACTTCTCCACTGGCATCCTCCCCTTGCTTGGGGTCATCAATTGAGCTGTCAATTACATTTCGTGTGAAACTTTCACACTTATCTTCGCAGTTCTTGTGTTTGAAACTAATGGCATTGCGTACTTTGTGCCATCTAACAGTCTTCTTAGGTACATTCATGTTACCAACATTTTCAATAGCAGCAGTTCTTTTAGAAATGGATCCAACCTTCTCCAAGTCATCATCTTTAATGGAATTCATATGCCAATCTTTCAATTCCCTCTCCGTGATTACCAACTTCAAGTTCGCAGGAGATACCATTTGATCCTCTGAACCCATTATTTTCTTTCCAAAACTTCTGACAGAGCTGGACCGATCAAAACTACTACGCATCATGGAAGAAGAATCTGAATTAGAGTAACCTGATCCACCAGAGCTAGTCTCGTCCTCCATTATAGAATGCATTGGCCCATCAACCGACAACCTTCGATTCTCAAATCTGTTGGCATTACCCAAGATCCCATTCTCAACAACAGAAAACATCGGTGCAAGCCTCGGAATAGTCCTTGCAATCATGTACCCATCCCAAGAAGCCCGAGGCTCATCAAATGAAATCCTACCTGCATCAACAGAAAACCTTGGCTCAGTGTCACAAGATCTTCTCCCCCCAATTTCGGATGGAGCTTCCCTCGACTTTTCCCTGTTCGAAACCACATCATTACAACAATGGCTACCCGCAGTTTCACAATTGCTACTGCTACTATTATTAGCCTTCTTCATCTTATTCTTTTGTCTCCATTTCTGCAATTTCTTGGTGAAAACAGAAGCTGCACCCAATAAATTTCCAGCAATGCCTTTAATATCCTTAGATTTATTATTCTTATTCTGAAATTCAAGATCTATGTATTCCTTCATTGTCTTGAATTCTCCTTCATCAACCTCCACATGATCGTCAATCGCTTCCACATCTACTGCCACCAAAGCATTACGCGAAACCCAAATTTCTTCACTACATCTATTTTCTTCACTTGACTCAATCACCGTATAAGTGACTCTCGAAAGCCCTAAATTCTTCGACTCAACTTTGGAGCATCCACCGGATCCATTCTTTTCATCATCATCATCGAACAGATGAGCCAGGGAGCTCCGATCCGACCTGACGTCGCATGACTTGCGCCGCTGCTCGGTGAAGCTGCTACAGGAAGCTTCGCATTTGGAAGTGGAGACCGACCTGCAGCGGCGGAGCTCTGGCGAGAAGGAGGCGGCAATGTCGGCGGCGGATGAATCCAGGCCGGAAAGTCGTTCACGAAGACAAGAAGCGCAGATGCCGGTGACTGGTTCATCAGGGTGGCGGTAACACGGGGAGAGGCGACAAGTACGGATCCGGGTTCGAGTTCGGGTACGGGCTTGGCTCGGAGATTCTGGTTTGAGAGTCATTTGCAGCTGCGGATAGGAGAGTGCTCAGTGACAGCATTTATAGTGTGCGTGGGGGTTTGGGGTTTGGGTTGGGGGGGGGGGGGGGGGG